TTAAGAATAGTTCCATTATGAAGGCTAATTGAAAATTTTGGATAACAATTTGAAAATACAAGACTACACTCGAGATTAGACTTGAGCATGGAAAGTAATGAATGCTCAAACCTTAAAAATCTTTTATCTCTCAAGGTTAAAAGAACATGAACGTCTAGACCAAGTTTAAACAATGGTTCGATTGCAATTTGAACAAGACCAACATGAAGATATTTGAATTTCTTTCAATGAGCTTGAATAGCTTCTTTTGAAAATAAATTTATTGAAACGGTTTGATTTTTGATATCAATAGTTTGCTCAAAACTTTTGATAACTTAATCTTGAGTAAAATCAAACTTTTCTATTTCATAGATAGAACTCTTGTCTACCTTTGAAATAGTCCAGTTTTGAAGTTTTTGTTCAATTTGAAGTTCATGAGAATTAAATAAATCTATTGATGTAGATGATGCATGATCTTGATCAATTTCTTCATTATCTTGAAAAGTGTTTGAAAAAATTTCAGTTCTAAAATGTAGGCATTTTGAATCGCATCAAATAACAATAAATTGTCAGGCATCTTTTGAGTACTTATCGAAAATTCGCTACTTAAAATTCATTCATTTCGGGTTGGTGAATCGATTTTGCCCTAATAACTCAGTAATTTGGATTTGTGGACCGTTTAGAAGGACAAATTTTTCTGTTTTTAATTTCTTTGAATTGATTGTAAGTAAATCTTGTTGAATTTAATAATAATCATGCTAAGAAACAAGAATCACATCTTTAAATTCATAACTCAAGAGATATCTTGAATGCAAATATTAGCATTTAGATCTTCCTCTTCTTGCTCCTCACAAAAGTATTAGACGTCAATGGGGCAAACCAATAAAACACATGGAGATGAGAGAGAACCTAGCCTCTTATATAGAAACTTATTGAGATGTCCCATTAACGACTCCAACCCTAATTAGGGTTTAGATATTTCTGATCCACATACTTAAATTACCACATTATATAGGATATACCCTATACAACTAAGGTATAAAACGGTTCAAGTGATCACTCAACATATTGGGCTTAACTATAGTATCATTGGAAGCTATACATCGAAGTCATTTTATAAAACATAAAATTTGCAATCAAATGGAAAACCCATATTTTAAAATTTATTCTAACATTCTCTCACTTGGACAAACATTTGATTCCTATTAAATAATAAAACAAAAGTTTTGACTCTCAGGTTAGACTACATAGGTGGCCACACATATATATCTCCAACGATACCACCTTAGAAAACATGATCCGGTCCAACAAGAATGTCAACATCGAACATGGAAGTTGTTACACTATTTAAAATATGTAAGACCACTCCACAACTATAAATGCTAACATCCTTATCGACATGGATCCCCATCCTCCAACCAATGCGGTAATATGTAGTAAGAATTTAGCACCAAATGTGATAAAAAAAAAAAAAAACTGTGCTAATTTATATCGGTCCTCATAATGATTCAAATCAACATGAAGCCACAAGTCTCTAAAAGAGACTCATCTTATACTTTATCTATTATACCTCAAGATCATAATAAAAGATATAAGCCAAATGCATATGGGATATGGTTATATATATTTTATTATTGGAAAGGGATGTACCCGAAAAACATATAGGTTGCCTACTTACCCCGTTAAGAGATCGAGCAAAATGTAGTTCTCTTACACAAGTAACTCCCACTAACCAAAAATATTAAAGGTTTCCATAATACCCATATTAGAAACATGTGTTTTAAAAACTTTTGGAGCAAGTCCCTTAGTCAAGTGATTTGCAATCATCGTCTCTGCATTAATATGATTTATTTTCATTTGTCTTTCCTTAACTCCGTCTCTAACCACCAAAGACTTTATGGTAATGTGCTTTGATCCCCCAGAACTTTTATTATTCCTTGAAAAGAACACAATTGCACTATTATCATAGTAAATAGTGATTGACTTCGAGATGGAATCAAAAAATTTCAACCCAAAAATAAAATTCCTTAACCAAACGGCTTGGACCGTAACTCCATACCATGCTACAAATTCAACCTGCATAGTAGAATATGCCACTAGAGTTTGTTTAACACTTTTTCACAAGATAACACCACCAGCCAACTTGAAAATATAACCTGAAGTTGATTTCAAATCATCTTGACATCCAATAAAATCAGAATTTGAGTAGCCTACCACCTCAAGGTAATTGAATGCTGCAAAGTAAGCATGTAACCTTCAGTTTTCTTCAAGTATTTCATAACTTTCTTAGCCACTTTCCAATGTTGTTGCCTTGGATTAGACTAAAACCTACTAATGACACTAATTGCATAGGTTATATCTAGTCTAGTGTAAACTTAAGCATACATCAAGCTCCCCACAACACTAGCATATGGTATCATTTTCATAGATTCCCTTTTCAGCTCATTCCTTGGACATTGAGCTTTGTTAAGCTTATCCCCTTTTATGATAGGTACATCACCCGGTGCCCATTTCTGCATATTGAACATTTCTAGAACACGTCGTATATAAGCCTTCTGAGAAAGTCCCAACACGCCTTACACCAATCAAACGATGTAAGACCACTCCACAACTACAAATGCTAACATCCTAAGCGACATGGATCCCCATCCTCCAACCAATGCGTAATATGTAGTATCAATTTAGCACCAAATGTGATAAAAAAAAACTGTGCTAATTTATATCGGTCCTCATAATGATTCAAATCAACATGAAGCCACATATCTCTAAAAGAGACTCATCTTATACTTTATCTGTTATACTTCAAGATCATAATAATATCATAATAAAAGATATAAGCCAAATGCATATGGGATATGGTTATATATATTTTATTATTGGAAGGGGATGTACCCGAAAAACAAATTGCCTACTTACCCCGTTAAGGGATCGAGCAAAATGTAGTTCTCTTACACAAGTAACTCCCACTAACCAAAAATATTAAAGGTTTCCACAATACCAATATTAGAAACATGTGTTTTAAAAACTTTTGGAGCAAGTCCCTTAGTCAAGGGATTTGCAATCATCGTCTCTGCATTAATATGATTTATTTTCGTTTGTCTTTCCTTAACTCTGTCTCTAACCACCAAAGACTTTATGGTAATGTGCTTTGATCCACCAGAACTTTTATTATTCCTTGAAAAGAACACAGTTGCACTATTATCACAGTAAATAGTGATTGACTTCGAGATGGAATCAAAAAATTTCAACCCATAAATAAAATCCCTTAACCAAATGGCTTGGACCGTAACTCCATACCATGCTACAAATTCAACTTGCATAGTAAAATATGCCACTAGAGTTTTCTTAACACTTTTTCACGAGATAACACCACCAACCAACTTGAAACTATAACCTGAGGTTGATTTCAAATCATCTTGACATCCAGCAAAATCAGAATTTGAGTAGCCTACCACCTCAAGGTGATTGAATGCTGCAAAGTAAGCATGTAACCTTCAGTTTTCTTCAAGTATTTCTTCAAGTATTTCTTAACTTTCTTAGCCGCTTTCCAATATTGTTGTCTTAGATTCGACCGAAACCTACTGATGACACTAATTGAGTAGGTTATATCTGGTCTAGTGCAAACTTGAGCATACATCAAGCTCCCCACAATACTAGCATATGGTATCATTTTCATAGATTCCCTTTTCAGCTCATTCCTTGGACATTGAGCTTTGTTAAGCTTATCCCCTTTTATGATAGGTACATCACCCGGTGCCCATTTCTGCATATTGAACATTTCTAGAACACGTCGTATATAAGCCTTCTGAGAAAGTCCCAACACGCCTAGCTCATTCCTTGGACATTGAGCTTTGTTAAACTTATCCCCTTTTATAATAGGTACATCACTAGGTGCACAGTTCTGTGTATTAAACCTTTCTAGAACATTTCATCTATAAGCTTTATGAGAAAGTCCCAACAAGCAACGATTCTATCATGATGTATTTCTAGAATGTGTACAATCTAGCAATGGGCATTTTTTAAAAGCATTTGTATTTGATTCTGTTTTGGGGTGCGTTACAACCCAGTTTTGTGAATTTTAAAATCATTATGATTTTTGGGAATTTGAGATAATTTTGCAGAGTAGTGCTTGAATTCATTGAAAGAGGCAGAGTATTTTGTATTTGGTTGGAGAAATCAGTTTTGGTTATTGTTGAAGAGTCAGTTCATTCCTTGCAGACGGATTTTCTTCTCCAAGTGAAGAATATTTTGGAGTTTTGTTCGCTGCACTGGAGTTCATATCAAAGTGGAGATTGTTAGAATTTGAATGTAACCCGAATTCCTTGTTGAAGTAATTGAAGTGCACATCAAGAAAAAGTTTGGAATGTTATTGGAGTCCTATGTCAAGTTGAAGTTCTATTTTGGGAGCCCATTGGAGTTGAAAATTGGTATTAGACTTGAAGAAAAGTTCGGGATGGAGAAAACAATTTGGGAACAAAAAAAATTCCAGAGAGAACGCTTAGTGTCGTAGCGCCGGTCCCTGTACCTGTTCCTATTTTCACGTTTTTCTCTCCTTTTTCATTTTGGACTTGATTTTCCGGCATCCTACTTCATCAACAATTCTACTAGGAGGGTTTGGACGTCCCTTACATATTCCTTATAAATATTGGCCCTTCTATACAATTTCATAAGTGTGAGAAAAGGGATTACCAAAACTTTAGGATCAATTGTATATTTCTCTATTATTATTGGTGCAATAAAATGTCCTAATTCCTATGCCATATTTTTTCGTCTTCTTTTATTCTTTTACTTGTGATCAAATAATTCACTATTGTGCTATATAATTTCAACATCTCAATCCGATGGTTGGTTTCATAACAAGTGGTATCAGAGCGATTCTGATATCTTGTTTGTTTTATAACAGTAAGGGATACATAACGTCAAATGAGTCTTAATCCACAAATCAGAAGGAGGACTTCCATAAAAATCCAAAAATTATTCAACAGAAACCATTTGTCTGGAATGGATGGTTTCCTAATAACATGAACAACTTGGGATCATTAAAGCAAAGGGGAGATCGAGAGATAAACCAGATTCAACAAGATGATGGAAAGGGCTATTTTCCATTTCCAATATTTTGGATGCCCTACAAATCTGAGGAAATGGAACATGAGGTGGACTATAGTGGTCCAAAACAAAGTACGAAATCCATCAAGCTGCCCGACAATGGAGACAACTTCAAAGTGAATGGTGAACATACTATTGGCAATGCTTCTTCAAGGACGAAGGAGAGTCCAGGTAATAACAAAGCAAAAGAAATCAATGTTTTTATGAAAGATTCTCCTGACAAAGGAGACAAGAAATGCCCCGACGGACGTGATAAAAAGAAGTCCCACTCTCATCCGAAAGCATCCAATTGCCTTCTTTTTGTTTGCGAGTTGACCCATTGCCAAGAAAAAAACACTAATGGAAGCTCAAGGTCTCCTAGTCCTCTGAGTGACAAAGTGAAGTTGAATTTGTCATCTAATAAAGTAAACATCATCTCCAGTTCAACAGAAATTGAGAAAAATGTGATCGATGACAACAAGTCCAAGAACAAGACAACCAACAAAAAGACTATTCATGTTATGGAAGGGAAAATTGAGTACCGAACTGATGAAAGATCCAGAGGAAAAGTGCTATACGGAATGCACCAGAGCTAATAAAGCAGTTGTAAAAAGTATATCAGATGATACCCGATCTCAGATAGTGGAGAAAGAAGAATTATTGAGGGGTAAAGAAGTGATTGCTAATGAAGTAAAGGAACCCGAAAGAAAGAAACTGACAAATTTGGAAGCAGCTATAATTATCCCGTCGGCATATCATGGATTTGCAATTCACAGATAGGAGCCATTAAAGAAGTTGAAGCAAATAGCCAAAGTACATGAGCAAATAGCTGTGATAAAGCTTCTCATTCAAGAGATAGAGTTATACTTTGATATCGAATACGATAATAAGCAAATACATATGATTGCAGAAGCTATAATGAACTTGCTGCTAAAATTGGACGTAGTTCAGGTATGTAAATAAACCAATAGAAAGAATGCTACATATTAAACCATACATAGCATCCTTTCAAGTCATTTTGTTATTTTATTTCAAGCTAGTTAGATTCTTGATAATATGCTATCATACTCTTGCAATATTTAAAAGTTTATATTAAAAATTTAAAATTTTATACTAATTTTTTTTATTTCACTAAACTATGGCCCCTATTTAGTATTTTTAGTTCAATAAACTACATGTATTCACGAAGATCCCTTCTCTATAGAAATTTTATTTTCTATGTTTTATTGTTGAGAGTAATTAGTAAATATACTAAAGGCCATCTTTGAATGTTATGTTACCAGTTCCTTTGGCAACAGTATCATGCCTGTCTCTGTTTTGCCCTTTCAACTTTGTTTTTTCATTACTCGCCTTTTATTTATTTTTTTCATGGGAGTTTTGTAGTTCTTGGAATATGCAAACCTTGACACTGTTCAGGGTTTGTGGAGAGTGACTGATAATGTGTTTCTTACTTGTTGTTTAGGGTTTGCACCCAAGCATTAGGGATATCAGAAAATCTTTCGCCAGAGAGCTTGTAAATCTTTAGGAGAAGCTAGACTCGTTAATTAATAAGAAGCATGAAGCTTCACTTGGGCACAAGTCGGCTAACGAAGGTAAGGAGACCAAGGATGATGCATATATTCAAGGAGGATCTGGGGTGGAAAACACTAGCGCGGATCGTATTTTGTCCAAAAATACCCATGAAGCTAGGACTCAAGTAGCCGAGTTGTGGCACAATCAGGTTGATAGGGGATCTCAGTCTGAGAACTGTTGGATGCTAAAGCCACCTTTCTTGACTAAAGGGTCACAATTTTCCTTCATACATTAAATAGCCACTTATCATTAAATGCCCAAATTAGAATAATTGAATTTGGTGAAAACTTTCACCCTTCAGCCGAAACATGTACATTTGATAACCACCTTAGTTGACTTTTTTGAAGGGAAAATTGTAAGCATTTAATGCTTAGATTCGTCCTTTCAGCAGCAGCAAAACATACGGAATCGGTTGTATATCATGTTGAACTTTGGTGCCATAATTAATGAAGTGGGTGGCAGAATTTGAAGTGACACAAAAGTTGTGGAGAAGAATTATAAAGAGAAAAACAAGTGAGTGGAAAGAAAAATATTGTTTTTTCCTAAATGTTTCCTACTTAGTTTCTCTTATTACAAAAGAGATTAATTATTGTTATCTCCTTATATTTAGAAAGTGTTATTGTAATTCTCCTACTATAGTGAAATCCTCATATACTTGCTCGTGGACGTCGCCTAAATTAGGTGAACCACGTAAATATCTGTGTCCATTTTTAACTGTAGTTTCTCAATTCCACTTTCGTTACAAGTCGAACTTGAACCATGATTTCTTAATAGTGGTTTCAGAGCATGGTTTTGTATAGGGTCGTTGTTCACTATTTACATACACGACGAAGTATGAGATTTAAAGTTCAATGGAAATAATTTCTCATTATGGAAAATTAGAATAAAAGCAGTTTTGAGAAAAGATAACTGTTGGCGGCAATTGGACAGAGGCCCGCTGAGATCATTGACGATGGCAAGTGGAACGAGATTGATGGCAATGCAATTGCTAATCTGTACCTAGCACTAGCCGATGGAATATTGTCAAGTCTGGGGGAAAAGAAGATGGCCAAAGATATATGGAATACGTTGAGAAAGTTGTACAAGACCAAATCGTTAAATAATAAAATCTTTTTGAAGAGAAGGCTTTACACCCTTCAGACGGTGGAGTCAACTATGGTGACCGACCACATCAGCACCATCAACACTTTAATTTCACAGCTCACATCAATGGAGCACAATATAGAGACGGGTGAACTTACTGAGTAGATTCATATGATCAACTCATTATAAACTTAACCAACAACCTTGAAAGTCTAGTCTTCGATGGTGTTATAGCTGCGATTTTTTAAGAAGAAAGTCGGTGCAAGAATAAGGACATATTGACAAACTCACATTAGGTAGAAGCTTTGACGATGATGAGAGGGAAATCAACGGAACGTGGTTCTAGTGGGAGTCATAATCAGATTAGATCAAGACCCAGAGTAAGAAGAATGTCAAGTTTCATTACTATAACAAGAAAGACAATTAAAAGGAGAATCTTGGAGTCTCAAAAAGAACGAAAAAGCCAAAGGAAAATGTCTTGAGACGTAAAAAGCTCAGGGTTGTGTAGCTAACACCTCATATGATGGTGAAATTTTATACAGTGAGGCAACAACAGTTGTTGAAGGCAAAAAATAGTTTTCTGATGTTTGTCTTTTGAACTCAGAAGAATTAATAATGATGTGGCATTGCAAGCTTGGCCACATGTTGAAATGTGGTTTGAAAATTCTCTCAGAACAAAAGCTTTTTCCAAGGCTCAAAAATGTTTCATTGCCATTTCATGAGCATTGTGTTACTACTAAACAGCACAGATTGAACAGTTCAACTACTAGAAGTAAAGCTATCTTGGAGTTGGTTATTATGATGTTTGGCAGCACTAGTTTTGTCCCAAGGAGGTGCAAGATACTTTGTATCGTTCATTGATAATTACTCCTGGAGATGTTGGGTGTATCCAATAAAGAGGAAGGCAGATGTGTTCGCAGTCTTCAAAATATTCAAAGCGAGCTTGAATCTGAAAAGAAGATCAAGTGTCTAAGGAATGACAATGGAGGAGAATATGCTGGTGATAAATTTTATAACTTTTGTCAACAAGAAGTTATCAAGAGACCGTTCACAATGACATACACTCCATAGCAAAATGGAGTGGCAAAACGAATGAATAGAACATTGCTAGAAAGAAAAAAAAAAAAAAGCAATGTTGATAATTACGGGGCTAGCCAAGTCATTATGGATAGAAGTAGTCAAAATCTCATGTTTTGTGATCAAAGTTGGATCCACAATCTATAAAATGTATTTTCTTAGGGTATGCTGATGGAGTTAAATAGTACTTCCTATAGGATCCCACTGCCCATAAGGTGATAATCAGCAGAGATGTAATATTTGTAGAAGGAATGTGAAAGAAAAAGAAAACGATGACACTTCAAAAGAGAAATCAAAGTCTACTACAGTCAAAGTTGGAGACAAACGAGAAGTTATAGATTCTTCTGAAGCAACACTAGAGCGTGAAGAACAAGAACAAGCCAAGTCTAGTGCTCCAAAAGTTCGACGATCAACACGAGAAATAAGAGTGCAAGCTTGGCACTCAAAGTACATTATGGAGGGCAATGTTGAATAATGCTTACTAATAGAAGATGGAGAGCCGTCAACTTTCCTTGAGGTTATAAATAGTCAGGAATTTTTTTTGTGGATGGCAGTAATGTAAGAAGAAATTGAAGCTCTTCATAAGAATAAGACATAAGATCTTGTTCCACTACCACATGGAATGAAGACATTGGAAATAAATAGGTCTGCAAGATCAAACGACATGGCAATAACCAAGTAGAGCGATATTGTACGAGATTGGTAGTGAAGGGATATGCTCAAAAAGAAGGCATTGACTTCAACGAAATATTTTTCTCCTATGATTAAACTCTCAACAATTCGAGTAATCTTGGCGATGTGTGCTACATTTAACTTACACTTGAAGCAGTTAGATGTGAAAACTGCATTTCTTCTTGGAGAACTTGAAGAAGAGATTTAGGTCCTCTAACCAAAAAGTTTTGAAGAAAAAAGAACTTAGTTTGCAATTTGAACAAATCTTTATACGGTCTTAAACAAGCACCAAGATGTTAGTATAAGAGATTGATTCCTTCATCATTAGCCTTGGATACAACAAACTCGATTCAGATCCATGTGTATACTACATGAGATTTGGATATAGTAATTTCATTATTCTGTTATTGTATGTTGATAACATGTTGGAAGCTGGCCCCAACAAAGATTGTATTAAAGACTTGAAGGCACAGTTGGCTAAAGAGTTTTAAATAAAGGACTTGGGATCAACAAACAAGATTCTAGGAATGCAAATTTACCGAAACGGGAATAATCGGAAGATTTGGAAAAGTCAAAAGAACTACTTGATAAAAATCTCGCAGCACTTCAATATACAATATTGTAAGCCAATTTTTACTCCTATTAATTTTAAGATATCCTCAAGTATGAGTCCTAACAATGAAGCAGAGAGAATGGAGATGTCTCGAGTACCGTATGCATAAGAATTTGCTAGCTTAATATTTGTTATGATCTATACAAGACCGACATTGTATAAGCAGTGTGAGCGATTAGTCGATACATGACAAATTCTGGTCCTGTGATATATCAAGGTACCTCAAATGATGCATTATGTTATGAATGATCAAATTTGTTGTCAGAGGTTTTGTTTATTCAGATTACGTAGGTGATCTTGACAAAAGTAAATCCACCACAGGTTATGTGTTTACTCTTGCTAGAGGAGCTGTAAGCTTGGTTTTGAAAATGCAGTCTATCGTAGCTATTTCTATGAAAAAAGGCTAAATACATGGCAGCTACACAAGCTGGCAAAGAGGTGATTTGGTTGCAAATGTTAATGTCGGATACAAACAAGAGAAGATTGGTCTATTTTGTGATAGTCGGAGCACTTTGCACTTGGCAAAGAATCCAGCATTTCATCAAAAAACAAAGCACATTCGAGTGCAATATCATTTTG